ATTGAAATTGAAATTGGTCGGAATCGATTTTTTATAGAATCACTGAATTTGCACATATTGAGATAAATTATCAGTCAGTTACTAATTGCTTCAAGGCTAATTTCAAGCAATATTAAGAATTGGAATTGATGCGTTTTTAAATATGAAAAACTATTAAATTTAAAATTTCTTTTAAAATTATATAATCAAGAACAAGAAGAACGTATTTGTCAGATTAATGATTGTATAGGTCCATATAAAAATGTTTTAGCATCACCTGAATTTACTTCTGTATGTATTCTTTTTTTTTATTTTTAAAAAAGATTCTTCAAGAATATAAACGTGATTCAATGTCAAATCGATTAAATCTTCTTGAAGATATGCCATTACATGTTCAAAGTTATCGTCATGAAACAATTCAAGAAGGTTCAATGAAAATGAAAGATTCAAAAAATAGTCAAGATGTTTATTGTTATTTATTTTCTAATATGTTTCTTATAACAAAAGATAATAAACAAAATAGTTCAACAAATTCATTATTATCAATGATAAATAATTATGGACAAACATAATCATACAACATTGAATATAATGAATGAAATTCTTAAACCATCTATTCGTATTGATCGTATTGATGTACGAGAATATAATCATCATGGTCGAAGTAGTAGTAATACTAATACAGAACCAAATATTGTAAGTCTAAAAAGAAAAAAAAATATATTTAAGAGAGAGAGAGAGCATGCTAAATCATTTACTGCCGATAAATTTTGTTTTTTATATTCTATTGTAGGTTAAATTAGAGATCATGTCGTGAAACTTATAAATTGAATAAATTAGTTTTTCTTGACGTATTTATGAAAAAATATCAAAGATCATAATTCTCAAACTTTTATAATTAGATGATAAAATAAAAAAAAGATATGGTTTTTTTTCGGATTTTTTCTATCTTTAAGTAAAAGATGGTCTGAAAATATGCAAAAAAGAATTCTCTATAAAATGATATATTTCAGTAGTTATTATAATAAATTTTAATAATCAATCATGCTTTGACAAGGAAAGAAAAGTCTATACTTGATCATCGTCCTTTTGCTAATAATTTGTCTCTAACATCATCAAGTATGGTATTCTAGAAAGAATGAATTTAGATTTTGAAAGCTCTTGAAATTCTGCATCTTTTGATATATTATTTAAAGTGCCAAAAAAAAAACAATGACGTGCATGAGTTTTTAGTAAGAATCACAGTGGTTGCACTAATTAACAAAATCATACAAAGCTGTTAAAATAATATTTGTATTTAACAATTTTCTACAACATAGCTTAATAATGAGAGCAAAATAAACAGCATATTTTGAAGTCAATACAAAAATTTACATTGAATTCAATATATTTTAGAAAAATTTATATTTTTGTAAAAAACTCGCCTGTACTTTCCATTAGCATTTTTTAATGAAAAATTTGCTCTTGGCATCATTTAGGGTCAATTTTTTATAAAACAGAAATTTTGCTAAAATATATCTAATTCGGTGCAGTTTTTGCACTGATTTCGCTCTAAAAATGAACTATAATAATAAAAATTACTAAAAATAAGTGTAGTTTATATGACATTAACATTGATATAGAAAAAAGTTCAATTTTCTCAACATCAAAGAAAAAAAAGATATTTTTAAAGTTTGAAGTCTGATAATCTGAAATGAGATAAGATATATCATCTGATTTCTTATGAAAACTGGATAAGTTGACCAAGCTGAAAATAAATAAATTCAGGCTCTATCTCTACTGGATATTGTTTTTTTTT